ACCGTCGAAAAGGCGGCTGAGGAGGTGGTCGGGGAAGACACTAGGCTCTTGGAGCTCGACTCAGCCTTCCTCTGGGCCATGCGCATCTTATCGAGTAAATCAAGAGCATGCTTGATACCGCGATCGATACCAAAACCTGAACACATCTGGTGAAGGGGAAGGAGCATGGCTAGTGAACTTACAAGACGCTGCTCCGATAACAGCCATAGCAGTGCTCATATAGAATGGATAGGCATGATGAACGGGACTCATATCGTAGAGAACTCCGGCCAGAAGTGGACCACAAATACCGCCTACGAAGAGAAATGTCAGCATTGCGGGGAAGGAAGCACTCACCGGCGTTGGACATAGCAATGACGAGAGAGTTTATCAGCCCCCTTTTCTTCGGCGGGGAGATGACAGCATTAAAGTAAGGTAGGCCGCCGAAATAAAGGTTACCTAATACAGGAATAGTGGAACCAGATGATGTCACTAAAAGTTGGTAGTACCCCCAATGTTGACCAACATGCCAAGGAAGACAGCTGCATAGAGATTATAAATCCAAGGTACAGCAATAACGACCACACATATAATCTGACCAATGAACCCAATACGGGCAGGGACCAAGTAACCTAAAACAAAGCTGCATACAGCACAAGTCTAGTGACAGCATGCCATGTACGTGTGAGAGGGACGTAGATTATGTTGGCCACGATCGCCACAGCGGCTTGCACGCCCATCACCACACCATTGCTGGACGAGGAGAGGTGGAAGCGGTCAGCTCCCAATAAACCGAAAACGGTGTTCCATGTTAGATAGACGTATCTCGAACGTGGGTACATAATACGAAGGGGCAACGGATATGATTCTTACTGTCTGCAGAAGGCGGCGATCCCGAGGCAGATGACAGTCGGGATAAGCCATTTGTTTTTGGGGTACTCCACATTCTCCTCTTCAACCTTCTTCACTCTGGAAACCAGCTTCCCACTCTCATCCTTCACAAGGGATTCTCGGAGGAAGAAGAACTCAAGCAAGAGGAGGACGGCGGCCAAGATACCCATAAAGTAAAAGGGGAGCCACATCGAGAACTGCATCAGAGCTCCCCCTAAGGAGAAGCACGTTGAGGCGGAAAAATGGTAGTCCAAAAACCTTACCTATGACAGGACCGAGGAGCTGTCCGACGACAACGAAGATACCCATGATGACACCGTAGAGCTTCATATCATCATTGTCACTTACGTCAGTAAGGTACGCTACGATTACAGGACGAGTACC